TAATGTCCACCATTCTGCCTCTCAACCAAGCAATGAGTAGTTTTCGCAGCATCTTCGCCACTTATATTCTTCAATTGCTTTCACGAACTCTTCTCTTGGAAAATTTTATCCAGTAACCATTTACATTTACAACGGCGTTATTAATTCTACAGTATGGAATATAGCGACGATAAAATTTCATTCTCATGGCACCTGCTGCATATGCTTCGAGTTTGCAATCTATTTCCTTGGTTATTCAATTCTAGAAGAATTTGAGAGAGCTAGTGATCAAACTTTAATGTAATCTTTCGACAGCTGATTATAACTTATTCGGCATACTGTCGCTGTGAATAAGTACCTCGCGATGCAGTTTGCTCAAATAGGATTGCTAGTAGCACTCTGAGTTACAGTGAGTTTCGTTTCATACTATAAAGTTTTAACAGCGATTGGTCTGGGCCTTTGCTGGATGCGAGCTACCGCTTCGCATTTCGCCTTCGTGTTTCCATTGGATATCGATAATTGTTTGGAATACTCCTTTTCACGTTAAGTTAAATAGATACTTTACCCTACATAACATACAGAGAGCTCGAATCCGATAGGAAATGAGTAGGAAGACGCAAACCGTGGAGGATATAAGAGTGGATCCCAAGGAAATTCATTCTGCTGGATTCGTTTCGAGGAAGATCCCGTTCTCCCAAAAGACATGGTGACAGCTCCCCAGAAGAACCAGATGCCAGAGAAACCCGTGGGTGGGGTGCACGCAGTGCTGCGTTTGGGCGCACAATGTGTGTGCACGAGGTGTGCAACATCGGAACTGTATAGGTTGCATGAAGGAGATATATAGTATCCATGTTTAGTGTGGGACAAGAACACGGGATTCAATGTAATGCAATTAAGGGTCAATGAATTATGAGGAATTATCGCTGAGTTTTTGCATTTTTTAGACTTAATGACGCTGTTGTAATTGTAAATAGTTACTGGATACAATATTTCAAGAGAAGAGTTCGTGAAAGCAATTGAAGAATATAAGTGGCGAAGATGCAGCGAGAACTACTCATTGCTTGGTTGAGAGGCAGAATGGTGTACATTAGCGGGAAAGTTGTGAATTCACCTCTAAAGCAGCACAAAAATGGAAAGGGGAAGAATCATATAAGTCCTCCCACAGTTCAGTCCTATGCTGCCGCATAAATGCGTGACTAGGAGTGAATTCAAGTGAAACAAACTGAAGACGGTTATATGATACACAGAATGAATTGGTACTATTCTACTATTACACCCCTAGAACAATAACAGGATTAAAATTACAAGCAGCATGAATTACAAAGTCACCACAAAGTAGACGAGTCAAAATAGTCAAATATAGAATACGAGTTACAGAAACCAGAGTTTGAATGGATAATAAGTAGAACAAGTAGAACGTAGTACCAGCAGAATAAAAACACACAAATGAAAAGCGAACAGGGCTTGAGCCTCGGTTAGCGCGGGGTATCCAGTAGAACGGCAGCAGAGTAGTGTTCAGCAGAGAATACAACAGTCATCAGATTAGAATGATATTAGAATAGGGTAGAAAATAGAAGAATAAAAGGAAAGTTGTAATAATCGGCGTTTGAACATAGCTGCTATTGGTCCCGCAACGAACTGCCTGATTTTGAGTTAGACAGTTGTCGCGAAAAGTTGACAAATGTCGCGCACAGCTCGCCCGGCGTTTTTTCGGGGTGTAGATTCAGCTGCGAGTATTGAGATTCAGCGGGAAGCGGTCGTTTGGCGCGATGGGCGGGTCGCGCCGCCCATTTGAGGCGGTTTGCGGGGTGAACAACTCGTTCACATCGAGCAACTCTCTGTCTGTTCTCTCCAGCTGATAGAAGCGCGATCAATGACGCCGCTTCTATTAGACGCCGAATTGCGGACCTGCTTGTATTCTGCCCACATACATCATCCATTTGGCGCTATTGCGTAATTTTTTATGGCTTCCTGTCCCCTTTCTCCATGGATACTGTCCAAATAAAAAATCACGCAAAGCGCCAAATGAATGTATGTAGGCAGAATACAGGCAGGTCCGCGATTCGGCGTCTAATAGTAGCGGCGTCATTGATCGCGCTTCCATCGGCTGGAGAGAACAGACAGAGGGTTGCTCGATGTCGCATGCCTCCAAGCAGATAGTAGGCTTCATGTTGCCGCCTATGCCGACGATGTGAAGGTTTCCATAGCATTTCATGCACAAGACCAAGACGAAGCTCGGAACTTATTGAACAAGGCCGTCGAGAATATGTGTAACTGGTGTTCTAGATGGGGATTGAATGTCAACCGCAGAAAATGCCATCTCTTCTCACTAGGGGCTGTGAGACTTGATGTGCGGTTTCCTGACGGAAACCCTGTTGCTCCATCTCTCAAAGTCAAAGATCTTGGGGTCAATTTATCAGCTGGTCTGAAGTGGAGCTGTCATATCGACGAAATTTCAACTAAAGGACTCAAACTGGTACATCTTTAGTTCAGGAATATCCATACTTCCGAAACCGCCGTCTGGATCAGACTCTACAAGATGTATGTTCTTCCGATAGTCGAGTACTGTAACCCCGTCTGGAGCCCCTACCTGGTTAAGGACATTCAGAAGATTGAAAAAGTTCAGAAATCGTTCACTAGAATTTTGTATTATCGAGCGTTTCCAAGTGTCGATTACCCTCGATCGTTACCAGACTACCAGACTCGACTTCGGGTGCTGATCTTGAAGAGCCTGTTTCAGCGGCGTGTTGAAGCTGATCTTGTTTTAGCATTTAAGCTTCTGAAAAGTGAATTGCGTTTGAAGCCTTCCCAGTTCTGGATATTCCGGCCATCTCGTGGACGAAGAGGCACCTTCAATGTTTTCAATCACAAAATGGGCAACAGATGTCGGGAACTACGAGCTAACAGTTATATAATACGAACTACGAAGTGGCTGCAATCGTTGCCTTCCCATCTTCTGGTGTTCGACAACTCAGCACAATTCAAGAAGGCTGTCGCAAAATCCAATATTTTGAGTCTGTTGGGCATCGCCGACGTATCTTGATATCTCCTTGCTCGCGCTCCTCTCGTTATTGATAGCTCAGTGATTCCTTGGTTAGTGGTCCTGCTTGGACATTACTTGCCCATGTGCTGATGTGAGAAAGGATTGTTTTAATATACTTTTTAATCATGTTCAGTTTTTTTCTTTTTGTTTTTTGGTTGGTTTCTGTTTATTTTTTTTGTTGATCCTAGACCTAACATCTTTGCAGTCTCGTTAGTTCTTTTATTGCCGGACTGTAGCGCGTCCTCAGGCGCATAGTAAATAAAATAAAATAAATAAAATAAATGAACGAGTTGTTCACCCCGCGAACCGTCTCAAATGGGAAGCGCGACTCCGCCCATCGCGCCAAACGACACACACCCAGATTCAGCGCAACTAGAAGAAGTCGCGGTCACCTATATTCGCAAGCATCTAGTCCTTGGAACTACTAGCGCTGTTTTGTTTTGCAGCCGTAAGGCTAGCACTAACGTCCTAAATAAGAGCTATAATAGGTGAAAAAAGCGCTGCACGTCGAATTGTTATTAAATACTGTATTCTGACTTCAGTTTTTATGCTTCAAAACAGTGCGGTACAGCGATAAAAGGGGAGGGGTACACATAACAGTGTTAGCATATCAAGGAATTAACGCAGGGCTACATGTGATTCGTATTAGGTAAAAATGTAGTTGGGGATGCCAGCGCCCTTTTGTGCTCTGCGTCTCTGACACCGGCAGCAGAGTGCATAGAGATCGCAGAGATGGATTCCTCCCCTTCTAAAAGTTAGGGGAGGAGCTCCGGGGCGGGCGAGATGATTATCTCGAACGGAAAGCTGGGATGGGGTAACAATTGAACATCCAATTGGTTCACCCATTCCGGAGCTCCTTCCCTATCTTTTAGAAAGGGAGGAGCTCCGGATGGGTGTGCAGCACCTTTCTGTTAATTCAGCTGTGGTGTTCAGTCGAGTTAAATAACGGTTTATGATTCAGCGATAACAAGCTCACAAACTACAAGCGGAACAATCAAGCAATGGTCTGCCGGGGTGGGCGGTCCTTCAGTCGCGTCCTCGTCCATGCGAAATAAACACATGGACGTGGACGCGACAGTGCGCGGGCGCCCGGCGCGACCCAAATGATATGTTATACAATGAGAAAAAGCACAGAATCAGGTATCACTTGCTTCTACCGATGTACTGAATGACTTCGCTTGGGCTACTCGCACCTGCACACGACGTGATGACCAGAACGATCGGACTGCGAAAACAGCGTGTAGTGGCCAGCTGAATAACGGTGAGCTGGCTGAGCGAGAGTTGAGATGTCGGCTTCATCAGTTCTGACAATATTCTGATGACATCGATCAGTTCTGAAGGCATCCTGACGACATTCTGATGACAATGATCAGTACTGGCAATATTCTGACGACATTCTCACGACATTGATCAGTTCTGACGACATTCTGACGACAAATTAAGTGCAGAAGAATACCCAGCGTAGCCGAAGAATAGTACGAATAAGAGAAAGGGGGTGAAGGTGATAAGCGACGGAGTAGGGAGTAGACGACGGTCGGCGTAGCAAGCAATAAGTAGAGATGAGACGAAAGCTGAGTACATCAATGTGGGTGGCTGCAAAACTATGGAATCGGTTCTTGCGCTTCCTTAGTGGGGTACCAGAACAAAGAACAGTGTTATGGCTCCCACGGCAGATGCTGCAAGAAACTGTGCATAGTGCGGGACCGTGTTCGGCGGGAAGGTACGGGCTACAAAGGCGTACCTCCGCCACACGCATCGCACGGCTTACCGGGTCTGAATAGCGATGACATCGTCCGGTGTGATGGCCGTCGACGTTTTCGGTGATAGTGCAGAAAATGCGAGATGATTTGGGAGCGGTACGCTCCATCAAAAAGGCGAGTTCGGTTTTCATTTCGGCAGTCAGCTAATACAACGAGTCAATGCGATTGCTAATAATTTGGAGAGTGTTACCGATAGCGTCCAGTTTGGCAGTCTGTGCGAATTCCATGAGACGTATCTCTTCGTTGATTTCGTCGGTCATGAATGTACGGAAATGACAGTTGTTGAAAGAGGATGTTTGGTAAGAAAGATGGGATGGCCACAGCTGTGGCTTCATGATCGCCGTTTTTGTGCAAACCAGCGGACGATGCTCCAGAATGATGACTGGATCGTACCTGCGATCGATCTCATCAGCGGAGGAAGTATGGGTTACACTGGTTTTATGAGAGCTAACAATATAGCTGGACCGAAGGGATAAGTGAGTACGGTCATCAGAACCAGAGCGATAGTAACTAAAAGCGTTAGTTTCTAATGCTTGAGGAAAACTATCCACAAAGGGGGAAGATCTTGTAAATTTGACCCGTTTAGCCAGTCAATTTGGGGTATTTGTCGCTGTGCACTTGTGAAGAATATGTCATTTTCTCCCGTGTGTGTGAGTAGTGAAGTACCCTTTTAAGCGTTGTAGTTTGGCAGTAAATGTCTGTCACCGCATTTTTGAAGGCTAACTTTACCTTTGTCGTCATTGTCTCCGGCGTGCACTTGATGGCGAAAGTATTGTGCGCACAAGTCACAGTTGCCCAGGATTTGATCTCAATGGAGATTTTGATTGACACGAAATCTCCACTGAGCTGCCGTGCTCACAATTATAGCATCCTGACAAATTCTTGGTACCTATCGTACAAATTGAGTTGACATTTAAGTTCGCAGTCCCAATTTTCTCTTTTGATACAATAGCTATGGATGTTTCCCCTTTACTGTACTCTGCAAACAAATTTCCAGCTAAGTCTGATACGGAGATGTATGGCGTCGAAAAAGGTAATACATATTCGCTGTTGCGGCGAACCTGTGCGAAAGTGTTGTACGGGCAGTGGCAACTGGGTGAAGCACCTGTAACGTCGCAGTCGCTGTAACGTGCGTTGGTACACGAGGAAAAATACGAGACCGCCTGATCATAGGTCTGGCACATCACGGCAAAGACGTGGTTGGGAGGAATGATGAGCGTTTTGCTTATGCCTGTGCATACTTTTTGTGAAGACCAAATTCGATTACCTGCGTGGATATCACCGTAAAATTAAAGTGCGCGAATTCTCTTGTGTAGTACGGTATGAGTGAATGAGTTCCATTCTCTTTAACGTTGTACAGTTCAACGCTGATTTTGAGAAAGACTTCTGGTCTCCATGCGGCGCATTCAAAGATTTCGTACACCTGTGGTGAAGCTGGCACATGGGAGATGCGGAGAAAGGTGCACACCCTACGAGGAACGTACCAGGGAAGTAAACATATGCAATCAACTAAACTACATTGCGTGGTGCAGGATGTATATCCAGGATAACGCGCAGTAGCGTTAAGTTTAGGTATCACTTTCGTAGGATCCAAGGACTCACAGGTATCATCTACTCATGATCCCAACCCACGACATCGTGTTACGCGATCCACTCGATGATGTGTCTCCCTAGTCCAAAGGAAGACACCTTGTGACAGGTTAGAAACACGCTCAATTTTGATGTTGCCGACAGTGGTATTTTGATGGCATAGCTGCACACAAAGGCTCGTTTGAATGCTATTGAAAAGAAGCTCTCGTCGATATTCGTAGCGAAATTCATTACGTTCGGTACAACTGAGGTCCACGGAATGTCTCATGTACGAATTTGACACGCTGATCCTGGCGCTACGGGAAAGATTGTTGTTATAAGTATTATTCCCATCAGTATGGGTGCAGGCGTGAAATCCGCTAAGGAGAATGGTCCAATCTCTCGTGTCATTGCTGTTGTTGAAAGCATTATGTTGGCGTTGTTAGACACTACCGTAGTAGGTGAATCTTTCTTGCGTAGGATTAGCCAGGCTTACAGCAAGGCACCACAAATGATAAGGTTACAGGACAGTCCGACAGAAAGTATTGCTCCCAAAGGCCAACAGCGCGGGTTGCATATCAGTGCTCTTGAAAAAAGACTTGCAAATCGATCGCAATACGGAGGATCTACACATGTTTTCTGTCTAATCAGGTTGTCAGATCGTAGTGTTACCGACCATTCTGTTGGATTCAAAGAAGGTGCAAGAGCATATTGAAGAACTTCGAAACTCTTATTGAACGCCCTGCAGTCATTGTTGGAACAAATTTCGAACGGTGGGGTTTTTGGGTATATTGTTGCAATCCCTCGAGCACAGGTTATAGCTTCTTCTTCGCTGCACGCTGCAGTTTTTATGGTCATCATATCAAAGCCAAAAATACGGTGTTGATATTGAATGGCTTCCTTGCGCGCAGTAGTTCTTGTTCTGTATCTGTCACAGATGCGTCCTCGTCTGTGTCATTTTGTTGTCGCCTGATTGCCTCGTATGCTTTTGTTTTTGCCGCACGTTGAGGTCTCCGTCGACTTCGCTCAAATTCGGTAGGCGCAGTAAGCGCAGTAAACTTTTCTGTATCTTCATTTTGCGCGCTGCCTGTTTGTTTGTTGTGCTCTTACGCCTCAACGGACGCTGTCGCTCGTATCTCAAGGGAGTAAAGCTTTGTTATTGGTCGTTGGATGTATATCTTTTTGTGAGGAAGCTTAACTTTTGCCGAACGTATGAATCCATCAGCGCTTTGTATTAGCTCTGTGATTGTTCCTATAGGCCAGTGACCTCTTGGTATGAGTTTTTGTACAATAAGGTCTATTTCCCCTGTCTCAGGAGCTGTTCTTATATTATGTCTGCATGCTTTGAACAAGGACTTCTATGTATCTCTTAGCGCCGTGAGGTACTCTACGTTCCAGTTGTCCCAAAACTTATCTGCTACTTGTTCTGAGAATGCCAGTGCTTCTTTTGTCTGCGATATAGTCTGAAGGCAGTCGGGATCATACGATGTGACATTATCTGAACTATCAGCTGACTCCAATGGAGGCAGCGAAACGCTGACGTTTCTTTGTAAGAAATCGATTGGGCGCAATGGATACACATCGATGTCCGTTGTACTGATCGCTGTGAGTGGCCCTGTATTCAAAACTGCCTCAATCCGTGTTGTGACCGTTATCATATCTGTTAAACATAGCTTCTTCCGTCCAACACTTTTTTGGAATTCCAACTTTACTGAAGACACTAGTCTCTCCCAAGCGCCTCCCATCCAAGGGGCCGCTGGCGGGTTGAACAACCAGGTGGTTCTGCTGTTAGCGCAGTATGACATTACTGGGTTATCCTCCTGATGTTCAGAGAACAGACTGTCAATCACTTTTTGCCCTAGGATAAAATTTGTTCCACAATCTGTGCGCACAATACCAGGGATTCCCTTTCTTGAAACGAAACGCACGAATTTGCTAAGCAATGCACTTGCTGATAGACTTTCAACGACCTCAAGATGGAGTGCCCGAGTTGTTAGGCAAGTGAAAATGCATATATACACTTCACTGTTGTTTTTTGAGCAAGAACGGGCCGATGAAATCACATCCTGTATTTTGGAATGGTTTTGTCCGTATGACTCGGTCTGAAGGCAGAGATGCCATTTGCGGGGCTTTGAAAGGGAAACTCTGAGCCTTACGGCATGCGGCAGAGGACATTTCGTGCTGTTCTACATGGTTTGGACATCCAGAAGCGTTGCCGCGCTAGTGTAAGTAAATGGTTTTTTCCACAGTGAGCGTTGTTCCTATTTATATCTTGTAAGATGAGACGCATGAGCTCGAATCAACGTAAATGGGATTGCGGGTGTCAAACGGGAGGCTCGCATTTTGCCGACGTGATTTGCACCGTATGATACCGTCTCCGTCCCGGCATATTTGTCTGTCCCGGTACCTCTCTTGGAGTTCCTCAATGTTTACGCTTCTGTGTTCGTATTGGCACAGAAGTGTTTCCGCAGCACTCAGATCGGAAGCTGTGGTTTTCAGATTGGGAGAAAGTTTCGCGATATATCAAAGTTGAAGCGATTCTGTTCTGGATGACCTGACTCTCTATTGACTATGAATTTACCGAACATATGTCACTTTTTTTATTCGTGAAACTTTGTTGAAGCCGTTGTAACGGTCAAGGTCAATTAACGGATCTGATCGGGTATTGTCGTCAGAGATTATCTCAGCTAAGACGACATTCTCATCATCTTCCACGAGATCGATGTCCCTTGCCTCGATTGCCTCGATGTTAGTTAGTAGGGATCGTTCCTTGTGGTTGATGAGCCATTGGGGTCCCTTGTTCCAATCGAGGTTTTCAAGCTGTGCGCTTGTAACACCTCGTGTTCCTGTATCAGCTGGATTCTTTTCCCCGGGCACGTGGAGGATTTGGCACTGACATCCATGTGCAATCAATCAATTTATACGTGCCTTGATTTTGTCTCTTTGGTTTGCCACGAATAGGGGGACCTTTCGTACAGTGCGGATCCAACTCAATGCAATGAGACTGTCACTCGCGATGTTTATTGTAGAGATCTCATAGTTGAGAGCGAAAGCTATCGATTCTGCCAAACGAAAGGCAAGTAGGACGGCGCGAACATTTTTCTTAGCATATGCTTTTGACTTAGCATAAGAGGCGCGCCGAGACCAACAGGATCATATACTGAGTGATGCTGCCTTACAAAATCTCTTTTCACTTTAGGCTGGGAACAGAACTCTGTTTTCAACGAGTATTTGTCCGATACGGGATTGTAATCTATCCCGAGAAGTTTCATTTGCTCGTATGGTGCTCTGTCTTCTACGCTTATTTGGGCATTCACTTCAGGACAGTTGTTTACGAATGCTCGCAGGTTCATCCCAATTGCTGAGAACAGCGCCTTGGATTCTTTATATTTGTCTAACGCTTCGCCTAACGTGTATGCTGTCATGAGAACATTGTCTACGTAGAGTAAAGACAGGATTTCTCTTGCGAGAGGTTTGCTACATTTCTGCAAATAGGCTGAAAGAACCATATTGAGCATGCTAGGGGCTGATGTTATGCCAAATGGAAGTCTTTTCCATCTGAATTCAACTACATTGTTCCGGTCGAACGTTTTCTCGGGATCACTTATCCAAAGAAATCTGCACAGATCACGGTGTGACTCGTGAATTCGTATTTGCGCAAAAGCCGATTGAATGTCTGCAATAAGAATGAGTGGTTTCGTCCGACTTGCGACTATTATGTCATGAATCTTATTCACAAAAGATGCGCCTGTATGAATGACATCATTTAGAGACAACTGGCCTCTTTGTTAAGAAGGCGCATCAAACACAATTCTGAGCGGATTGGGTTTAAGCTCTCTCCACACTCCAGAGTGTGGCATATAATAGGTCCCTACTGATTCATGCTTAGGCCCGGTAACTTTTTCAACCACACCATCTGCGAGATATTGTTTCATGATCTGGAAATACCATTTCTTTCGTTCTGGGAACCTTCGCAAGTGTTTCATTTGCGCAATGAGCCGATGTAGGGCCATGTTGTAATTACTAGCGAGATCCACTACATTACCTTTTAGGAGGAACGGCGCGCTCACCAATCGGCCATCATATTTGATTAGTTTTGCGTATTGTGAAAGATATGTGTGTGCGGCCTCGTCCTCTTTCTCTTCTTTTGTCGAAATACCTAGACCTTCCATTTCGAACATATTTCTGAGCATTTCTGCATCTGAAACCACCGCGTTACAGGAAATCGGATAGGCGCTTATGTGAGGAAAATCTGCTCCCACTTGACCGCGCATATAAGCGGCGAGGCCGAATACTGTTTGCGCTATTCGAAGGCCAGTAGGCAACTGAATTGGTGGTATATTCTCGTCAACGAGAGAAGAGTACAGATCAAGCCCAATGAGGATATGGGGAGCTGATACTCTCCTCGAGTGCGCGTATTCGTCAGAAATAGGTTTTTTCTTCAATGAATCTTATATCTCGTTCGGCGAGATGTACTGCAGGAAAGCCTGTAGTTATGGTAGGCTTGGTTTTCATTGAAAATTGCAGTTCTCGTCCCTGCGCTGTTTGAATGCGTAGTATTACATGGTGGGTCAAAAATGTCTCGGATATCCCATTTATTTCTGACAGGGAGCACTGTTCAGATTTCATGACAGGTAGTCCCAAGTGTTCGGCTGACTTCTCTAGAATCAAACTCAATTGTGCGCCAGTGTCGAAAAGAAAAAGCGCTCTTTGATACTGATCGCTTAAATGGTTCCAGACCAACCCTTCTGCAGTCATAAGTACTATCTGTTCGTCTGGGGCGATGTTACAAGACTGCACTTGATTGAGCTGCTGATTTAGCGCTGCGGATGACACATTTAGGGGATGCGCTCGCAATGGCGATGATTCACTCTCTTTTCTGATATCTTTTTTATTTGCTTTCAGTGCCGGCTGTTCGTGTACGTGCATGGAATTTTGAGGAAGATTTCTTTGTTTTCCTGGAGTTTTCTCTGTGTGCGCTTGGTTCTCATTTTGTTTTTTGATGCACAAAGTTTCGTCGTGCAGTCTGCCGCAGCGCTTACAGTTGGGGCGTTTGCATTCAGTGCTGTTATGCTCTTCCGAAAAACATTTCCAACAGAGGTTTTTTCCATAGCAATTTTTCTGCGTGCGCGTGCTTCTCTTACTGAGCGGCACTCATTAGTTCTTTCGCAAAAGTTGCAAAATGCTCTGCGATCAGCTTTCTCCGCGCGTAAGTTTTCATTTTTGTGCTCGGAGTCTTGGTAGGTAAGGCGCTCGGCAATATACGCTTGTCTCATTATGATTACTTCGAGTTGATCTAGTGTTTCTCCGACTGTATACGTTTCACCGGCTTTGTTTTCGCGCAAAAACTCCTTTACAACTTGACGAGGAAGTTTCTGCAGTATGGTTTCGATCCACATAGGATCGCTAACGTCTACTATTGCGTAGCCTGAGGACGTCATCTCATTGACCAGTGCTCGTAGACTATCGAATACAGCTCCGCATGATTTGGCATTATTCTCCGCCACGGGCAAGGAGGACAGTCTCTTAATGACATTGGCGCGTGCATTAGTTACGTATCATATTTTTTCTAAAGGGTCTCAATCATCCATTGATAGTGTTCCGCGATGACTTGTATGCCTTTGATAGCATTAGCCGCTTTCCCGACAAGACTCTCTTTTAGAAGTATAATTTTTCCATAGCATTCAGAGACGGATTTTGGTGGGCCATTGTATTGTACATGGAAAGTTCCCCAGAAAAGTGAGGAATATTCATCTGAGGTAGCCTGATGGAATTACATTCCATGCGTGTCTGTGCTTGTTGTTGGGGGTTAACGCCATCATTGGGATTTTCACCCAAAACCTTTACTGACATCATTGATGTTTCTTTAGAAGCGCCAGCTGTCGCCTTCTGCCTGAAATTTTTTGCAGATGCAGCTGCACCTGATGTATCCAATGGTTCTTTTTTTGTAGGGGTTTTTGTTCAAAATTCGCCCATGTTCGCATGTCACTTCCCCAAGGCGAGTTTTTAACGCTGTTAGGAGAGCATCTGCTT